GCGGGCTGGAGCCGGTGCGGTGCGTCCCGGCGCGGAGCCGTTGGGCCTCTCCGGCCCCGTGCGGGGTGCCCGTGCCCCGCGCCGGGCGGGCGGGTGCGGGGCTGGGCGGAGCGGCCCGCAGCGGGCTCTGGGCCCAGCTCGCCTGGCAGGGACCCGCGCTCGGGTTGTCACCGGAGCCGGGTCGCTCTGGGCTGTCCCGCGCCCGGCCGGTGCTGCTCTCCGGGGGCCTCGCTCTGTCGGCCCCGCAGGGGCTGGTTGCGCTTCTCGCCGCCCGGGGGTGCGGATCCCCCCGGCCCGGCTGGTGGGGATGAGTCTGTTCCGTTTGTAGCCTTGTCAGCTAAGAGAGGTGTTTTCTCCACTGGGATTGGCCGGGAGCCCCCTCCCAGGGCAGCACCGAGATGTTCAGGAGTCTCAGGTCATAAGGAAGAGTGTATGAATTACTTCACCAGCCACTGGCAGGCAGCCACCTCTGAGGTGAAAGTTGACACCTTTTTAACAGCATCTAATGATGTTACATAATGGTTTAGGATGAAAATGAACAAAACATTCAATCAGAAAAAATCAGGCAGGATATTTGGTAGGATGAAAGAATAATAGCTAAGTGTCTTGGCCGAGTTAGGCCAACACCCCATCATAACAACCCAGAGGTGCTGCTGGAAGTACCATTACTCCTATCTTGCTGGTCCCTTGTGAAATCACTTTAATACCACTTCCTTCAGAACCCTGGACTTCTTTTTGGGGTCTTTAAGTATTAACCAGATCTGACTCTTCTTAGCATATGAAAAGGAATGAAAGAGATGACATTTCCAGTATTACAAGTCAAGCAAAGCTTTAGCTTTAATTTTAAGATATGAAATAACTTTGTGGTAGCTCCTTTATTGTAAGTTTCATATTTTGGTTTTTAGGAGGTTGAACATTAGTCCCATATAGTCCTTTGCAACTTTGTTTGCTTCCTTTCTTTCTAGATGTAGTTTCCTGTTTGTTGAAACTGTAAAGGTTATTTTCCTACAGCATGTTGAAGTTTCCTGATATTAAACATTCAGAATTTGCTGCAAATGACATACTATCTTTTCCACCCTTTATTAGACTGGTTTAAATTTGGCGTTTTTTTCCATAGGATTTTTACAATTGGCCTGATGAATCTTTTGAAGAAATGGATAGCACACTAGCTGTTCAACAGGTATTTTTTGTTCTAATAAATATTTTTTTCATGTGTATAAGTTTAGTCACCCAAATCTTGTGACTTCTGGCAAGATGTAAGCAAAAGGGCACATTCTCTTCTTGGTTGTGATATAGTTGTACAAAAATAACTTCATAATTCCATAGAGAAATAGAAATCAGTGTATTGGTTAATACAGTAATTTTCTGTGTAGACATCACTAGAATCCTGGTGTCCGGTTTCACCAGTTGAACAGGTTTTATTGCTACCTGGTAAAACTCACTGCTCCTCTTACCATTTCTCATTCAGGGAAGACATGTTTTTCACACACTGTATTTTTGGGACATTTGCTTTGTTCCTTCTCCACCTATCGCTACTTTTTGTTTGTTTGTTTGTCCTCTTACTTTTGTCTATCAAAATAGCTGCTCAATTCCAGCTAGACTAAAGAAATAAGTAGTTGTTATCCTTACTGTAGTGGCTATTAGGTATATATCAAAGTAGCTAGAGTTGTGGCGCAGTCCTAAATATGGTGTCTTACTATCTTTAAACAACTTTCAGAAATTACTTCTTTTTCTTCTCAGTATATCCAACAAAACATAAGGGCAGACTGTTCTAACATTGACAAAATCCTGGAACCTCCTGAAGGGCAGGATGAAGGTGTATGGAAGTATGAACATTTACGGTAAGAATTCATGCTTTGTCAAAATGTAGAATCAGGAATCCCACCACACTGATTAGCAGTAGTAATGAATCATAATAGTCTGACTCTTATAGACTCTAAATATTTTTGTTTACGACTGTTTAAAAAAACAACAACAAACCGACGAGCAAAACTTTGTACTATTAAACATTTTAGAATTATGTATTAGTAATAGATTTGTAGTCTTAACAATGGAATTTATTTGCTCCTTTTCTGATTACCAAGTTCATTGTTGTGAGGATTCCCTTAAACTCCCTTTTGCTTTTAAAAATGTGTGATGTCAACATATGTGTTTGCAGTTCAATTCTAGAAGTATTTAAAATAAACAAAGATTTATGTCAGTATGGACTGAAAGGACAGCCATGAGTTTCCACAGCACCTCCCCCCCTCAATCTCATCAACTCCTTACTTTCACTTACTACAATATGAATATTGTAATCATTAGATACTCTCCAGAATAGCCTTTAGCTATGAGGCCTGTTTTTTACAAACAGTAAGAAAATATTTTTTGTAGTAAACATGTTTTCCGTTTTTATTCCAGTCACTATCAGAGAAATCGTGACAATTTTTCTGGCTTTCTCTTTATGTCTGTTAGCTGTTATAATACATTGGGGTTAAGCTGGCTACCTAGAAGCCTTTTATGTCTCCAAACTGTCCTTGTTACTGAAAGTGTTTATTTTATTATAGTACAGACTCAATATTCTGCTCACTGATATTTCCACCCTTATTCTGCTTTGGTTTTTACATCACTTTGCTATGATTAGTGTCCTGACATTCTGAAAAAAAAATCAGTTTTTTTCTTAGTTTGACTGTCTTGTCATTCCATCAACATACATTTTCAAGGATAAGGATAGTTTCAAGTTAGTGCCTCCAAATGAGAGTTAGGCACCTCGGTTCTAGGCACCTAAATACCTTTAAAAATGTGGCACTTGGGAGCCTAAGTCCCAATGACTTTTAATGAGACTTAGGCTCTTAAGTGCCTATATTTCTTTTGAAAATGGGACTTAGGTGCCTAAGTTAGTCACTTCTGGAAATTTTACCCTGCTTCCTCTGAAGCATTAAATCTTCTCTAAACTGTCTGCTAGAGTGTGCCTGAGAGTGAGGCAATCAGCAGCTGTCACACATAGCCTCACTGCATTACACCTCAACTCAAGCTGGCTTATAGAGAGGTACTCTTGGAGGTCTCAGTAGTAGTCTCTTGAGCATTTGGGGATGGCACTAAAGCCACAGAATTGGACTTTCAGGGTGTATAGTAGCATAGATGGGTTTGATCAGTTTGCACCTTATGATGTGTTTTTCTTCAGTGTATGTTTAAGGGATTTTACTTTTTTTTTCTTTTTTCTTAAACATGAGTTGATATCAAAGGCAAATTTGTAAAATGTAGATTTTCCTAAGGGAGAAAATAATATATTCCTAGTCTCTGCTATCGGAATACTGTTCAGTTTATCCTTTTTGACAAAGGAGAAAACTCAAATATAGTTGTATGAGTTCCTCTGAACGAATAATAAATTAAATTTTTCTAACTTTTCTTTTTGTATTTCTGTCATCTTATAGTCTCCTCTTATTTGTTCTTTTCTTCCTTGTATATTCTACAGATATGTCCAAGATTCTAAATTTGTCATAGCTGCTGGAATTATTTTGAAACATATTTTTTACATTTGATCTCATTCCTCTTCTGCTTTCTACACCCCAGAAGAGACCAATGTAATTATTAAAAATGCTAGAGATGCATAAAACCATTAGTGTTTATGACAAGTTGTTCTTTGCGTTAAAATGTTTCCATTAGGGAAACTGTTTTGACAATGCTGTATTTAAATTTCTAGACAATTCTGTCTCGAGCTCAATGGACTTGCTGTCAAGCTTCAGGTAACTCTCTTCTTATTTAATTTTGTGTCAGAGACCAGGTTGTTTTTGTATTTTTAGATGTAATATTAGCTCACAAAGCTTTGCAAACTTTTAGTTCACATATTTTTAGCCACCATGACTTTAGGAACATAGTTTTAGGATTCCAGAAGACTTTAGTTGATCAAGTAGCTTTAAAATATTTTTCTGATTTTAAGGAATTAAGAGTTAAATTATTAATAATGATCAAATCTTGCTTTCTCTGTTTGGTATTTTATTAACTGAACAACTGTTTCAACAGAGTGAATGCCACCCAGATACATGCACTCAGATGACAGCAACTGAACAATGGATTTTTCTTTGTGCAGCCCATAAAACTCCCAAAGAGGTAAGGAGGGTATTTTTTGAAATATATCTGTGAAGGCTCATATTTTCTTCAGGGATCCATGCACAGAAGGGGCCATCCGTGCATATCTTGTCTTAGTCAAATTGAAGGGATATGTGGGAATGCGACTTTCATAGCAGTACTCCCTGCTTGCTTCTCACATCCTCCATAGTGACTCATAGGAGGCAGAAGAGCAGGGAACCAGCTGCTCTCCATAAGTCTCATACAGATCCCTACTTCCCCCTCACCTTTTGTGTGGGAATCTGGAAGAGTAATATAGCTTTAATCTGTATTAAATTTTCTCTGGTCACCTGCATAGTTGTTACTGAGCAACGGAAAGGGATTTCTTTTTTAGCAGATCGAGTTGCCTTTCTCTGCGGTTTCATGGAGTTGGAAGGCTTCCTCTCTTTCTCCCCCTCCCCCCACCTCCCTGTGGACTCTTAAGTCCCTGCTTCTGGTGACAACTTGCAGGGAATTCTGCAATGGGAACCTCTGCATCTTCAGCTCCTCTGACACCCTCCTGTGGCTTTCTCCTTGGGAAGGACCATTCCGGCCCTTGGTTTTTGACTTTAGTTAGTTTTGTGCAAATTTTGGTAGTAAGATTGTAGACTGCTGATTAGTCTGCCTTAATTTCTCTGTACTAGTGCATGAACAAGAGTCAGTAATATTTGATGCATGCTTGGTAGGCCCTGGCGTACAACTGTTCACATTACAACCATTATTACGTTGAGAGTCTTAGCAAAGAGATCAAGGACTAAGTAGCCATGGAGACTGCACTTTCTTTTCAGCCCTGGAGAAAGTTCCCTTTTAGGGGAGGGTTGAGGCACTCAGATGGGATGGTTTGGGGATGCGTGCCGTGCCATTGCATTATCTGCTGTACAGAGCAATAAAAATGCCTGTTCCATAGCTAGAAGTTCAACATCTTTCACCAGAAATAATGTGCACTTGGGGGGGGGGGTTGTGTAATAAGCACATGATGACACCTTCCCTTTGAAGTTAGTGAAGAAAGAAGTTTGGGGGGAGGTGGGAAACAAACTTTCTCAAACAGAAATGGAATTGGAAGTGAATATACAAAATAAAAAAAAGGAACCATCCAGAATCTTGGTTAGTGTTTTTAGCAGAGGTAGAGTTCCATATTTTTTTTTCCCTTTCCTCACTGAAACTGATTTTAGTATGTTCTTAATAATTGGAAAGTAGTTAAGTGGCCAGGCTAAAACTCAATAAAATATTACATGAGTTTACTTCTTATTTTCTACGTTCTCAAGCTAACAGTGTTTGTCATCTAAAATTCAGTACAGAATAATTATGGGGTATTGATGAAAGGAGAAGGGAAATTGATATTTTGCTACCCCTTCATGGGTGTGTTGATTTGTTTCACGTGTCCAGACTAACCAAGTATAGTGTATTAGCTTGGAATACAATACTTGTCACTCGGTCAATGAGATCTATCTTTAACCCTGCATGATTAAAACAGTTAAGTATAGGGATTTTAATTTTTCCATGGCTTGGTCTGCTACAGCACAGACCAAGGGCTGGTTCCTTCTAGTATGTTGACAGGCACAATGATGACCAATCACCGCCAGGATTTTCACACTCTCCAGCTCTTTCTCTGCTTTTCCAGTTTGTCCTGCCTCACTTAGAGCAATGTTGCCCTACTTTCCTCAAGAGAATTTTTCTAGCAGCTTGAAACACCCAGAGAAGGTTAAAATTGAGTGAGGAAAATACCATCGTTGTCCCTCTTGCACCATTGCATTAAGCATGTTGTGCATTCACTTGAACTAGTTATCACAGGAGTCTGATTAGGAGACAACCTGGAACATCCAGGTGAAAAGATCTTTGCTCTGGTGGGAAAATCAACACGAACTAGGGATAGGCTTTCCTCTCCAGGGGCCAGCCAGTCTCCTGACAATATGAGATGCCACATGAATATTCAGCCTTGTCGAGGACACAGTCCTAAAGGGAGAGGCAGCTTCACAAACTGTGGGTTATCAGACTAACCCTACTAGCACCTCAAGAGCAGATCAAAGGAGCATGCATCTTCAAATTCTGACAGTGGGGGTTGCAGAGTTACGTATCTGAATGTCCAAGCACATGGAACATTACCCAAGCTCCTGTCTGAGCCACCCAGTTGGTAAACTTATATTTTCTTATCTTCAGAGTGGCTTTCCTGGTGGCTGTTGGTTGAGAGGATAGTAGAGCTGTCTATCTTATCTGATCTCTCTTCATACCTAGTCTTCCATAATAATAGTGTGTTCCTTTAAAATTGTTCTAGTTTTTTGCCCAAAGTCCTGCCTCCTTTAACTTAAACCAGATGAAGAGATTACAAGGTGAACTGCATTTTCAACCCCTTTTACTCCCTCTTGAGTAGACCCCTTACGTGACAGATTTTGTTACCTTCACCCTTCTTTGGGTGGATCTGTGTGATCCTACCACTGTTAGACTGGATCTTTAGCTGCAGCCTCCCTGTTTACCAGCTGTGTTAACCTGACAAACCCAACTGTATTTGGCACATGTAAACCCTTTTCCCTTGGCAACCTGATAGCAGCTGATTAAAGGGACTCTAAAACAGCTTCTTCAAAACAAAGCAGTATCTGTTCACCCCAAAGGTACATAGCATGCAGAGCAAAGGGGTAAGTTCTATACACAGATTAAGGTTTAGATAAGGAAAAAAATATATTTTTAAGCACTAGTAAGTTCCATTCAGCCCAGTTACCTCCATGTCTGGGTTGGGAGAAACTTTGACTCTTGTTCTTCCTCACAGTGTTTAGTCATGTACTGCTATTCAGAACCCATGTTTTGGGCTGTAGAAAACTCAGCTGCAGAAAACAAATGATCCCATCTACCGTCTAACTCTTTTTCTCCTCAGTCAAGATGAAGCAGACACCCACGCAATTGAATTTTCCATAAAAATGAGTTTTGTTCTCCTAGGTAGGGAGGGATTTAGTGTAAGTTTATTGGAGTAATGGGTGGAGCACAAGGAGTGGGAAGATCATGGACTCTGATCCTGCTTGTCAAAGCAACCGAGGAGCAGTCCATGGTCTGCCCTCATGACTGAGCCATGGAAGCCAAACTGACTTGTAGGTGGTGGGATGAACTTTTTCTTTGGCAGTGGTCTTCCATTATAGAACTTCTGTCATGTCAGTTGCTAAAGAGACACTTAATTAGAACATCTACTCCTGCGCATATGCCCCATTGCCAAAACAACCATTCTCCTGAAATAATACAATCAGGGGTACTTGGAGCTATAAGTAATAAAACATGGGAGGCGGAGACAGCTCTCATATGGGGGAAGTTTACTCAAACCCTTATAAAAACTCTGTAAAACTTTTGGAATTCAAAATGGCTGTATGATGTATCAGACAATTCTGTGTGAAATATTGTGTGATGCAGTGTCATACCTGTTTTCCCCCCTAATATTTTTTAGTGTCCTGCTATAGACTACACCAGGCACACGCTTGATGGAGCTGCATGTCTTCTGAATAGCAATAAATATTTCCCCAGCAGGTAAAACTCTTAAAAGCATCATCTTTAATTTTTTGGGGGGTGGGAGGGGTTATTTTACATTCAGAAAATCTTGTTCATAAGTGGAACAAATCTGAAACAGTGTTTGGTAACGCAAATTGTTTTTCATGTATCTAGTAGAATAAATTACTGTATTATTCATATACAGTATTACAGAATATGATGAAAAATACTAAATGTGGCAGCATGTCCACAGTTACTGTTGTTGTTAAGTATGGGAAGAGGTCCTGCTTTTAGTGCTGCTCTGCCACCAGCTTGTTAGAGGTAAAACAGAGGTGTTTAAGGGACTATATTACCAATCCAATTTAATCAAGTTGGGTTTTCCAGTGTGGTCTAGGTCTCCAGTGGGGAAAATCCCACCTCAAAGGAGGGAGGGAGTTGTGGTGGCTCAAGGTACTGTTAGACCTGCTGTGCTGGGAAGCCCACACCAAACTAGTGCAGTCCCAAAAGTGGACACCACTGACTGCAAAGAGGCCTGGCCAAGGACGTGCACAGATTCAGTTTCTCAGGTAGTCTCCATGCCAGTTTATGGAACCCCAGATGGAAAAGTAAAAGCTGAGTTTTCTGGGGAGGAGCCTCCATGGAGCACAGTGGTCCTGCTGGGGAAGGAGTGTGCAGTTTGCATCCCTCTGTACTAGAAATGGGGAATCTAGCCCCTTCCAGATTAATTTTAAAACCTGTCTATCTGTGGAAAGAAGCCAGTGTTTCTGCAATCAAAATATGAAGTTTTAAATGTGCAGAATGAGCCAACTTAATATTTTTACTAAATTCTTTCAAGAATAATGATTACAGAATTTAAATGTTATCAGTCATCCACAAAACCTAACTTTTGGAATTTCATGTGGGATCAATTATTCCAGTATAAAAACTAAATACACAGGCGCACATGTGCATGTTAATATCTGTATTCAACCTGTAGATTTGTAAAACTGAGTACTGTATAACATTTGACTTATGCTTACAGAGTTAGCATAAAGGAATCCTCTGTAGCCAAACTAGGATCAGTGTGCCGTAGAATTTACAGAATATTTTCCCATGCATATTTTCATCATCGGCAGATATTTGATGAATATGAAGTAAGTAACTGAGTACTTTGCATTTACTTTCAGTAGTGCATTTATTAAAGTGATGCCAAGCATTGTTGTTCTGCAGTTGTGTTACATATTTTCTTTCTCTTAACACTTTCACTACACAGACCTCCTTAGCAAGCAAGGTACAGTTCATAATAGATTACATGTACGTAAGAATTGTGTGAAGTTTCATGTGAATGACTTTGGTCTTCAAACTAAGCAATTTCATGTGTACTTTTTTTAATCCTGTTTATTATAGTTCTCCTAAATTGGGTAGAAGTTCACTATACAGAAGCAGAAAGCTTTACAAGAACTTTAATACCATCAGTTCAATGACCTTTTTTATGAAAATTGCTTGCCTTTGAGTGTTACAGGAAACCCTTAGGATTATTATCATTGAAAGTAGAGAAATATTTTTTTCAGTTTACTTTATGCATCTGACAGCACTTTTTTGTACAGTCAGTTACTTGTTTGTGTACATCTTTCACACAGTAGTGGAGGAAACATTTTAACAGTTGGGAAGTCTGATGGTAAAGCCACAGAATCAACAGGGGACTCAGGGGCATGTATATTACCTGAAACTATTTTATTTTTTTTAACTGACTAAATTTTAAGTCGGGAAGGGGGCTTAGATGTGTGAATAGCAGTAAAAACCAGGGTAAGGACTAGCCTGGGGAGGAGCACAGTGGGTACACATACTACTGGAGCCTGTGGACTGTAGTAGCAGCTAAAGACTGACTCAGCTTACTGTTTAGTTGTGGGGGAGGGGGGGTGTGTGGCGGGGGAGGGATTTAATTACCACAGGTGCCTATATACAGCTTTTGTTAGGGCTTTGCATAGTGGACCAGAATTTAGTTGACACAGAATTGCTTATCTGATTTCATGCTTGGTATAGTGGGACTTGAATATATTCCTATTCGGGTGCTTTTAACATTGAGTTATGAAAATAAAGCTTAAATAGGTGCTTGTGTCCACTCTTATGAATATAAAAGGGGGAAATAAAACTATTTTACTAATGGATTCCTTGTGGTGGTGGTATTTAGATGTAAACCACCCAATGTTCCTAAAAGTTACAATACCAAGGGGACAATTTATTTATGCTCCAGGATTTTTATGATAAATTTCCCACAATTCACTTTGAAATATTCTCTTCTCGTATATGTCATAATGCATTTTATTTTACATTGGAATTTAAATATTTTTTTCCATCCTCAGAATGAAACCTTTTTGTGTCACCGGTTCACTAAATTTGTGATGAAATATAATTTGATGTCCAAGGATAACCTGATTGTACCAATTTTGGAAGAGGAGGTGCAGAATTCAGTGTCTGGGGAAAGTGAGGCATGATGGGAATTGTGGTACAGAAAGCAACTGTACTGAACACACAATTGACATTATGTACTGTATATATCATTTTAGACACTTCAATCATGTATCCTTATTATAGCTTTGTTTAGTATACTTTTTTGTATGCTGTGTGCATTGCCTTTTAATATGGGAAATACTTTAAGTTATTCATGAACTGTATATTCATCAATGTGGCACTCATGGTTTTTAAATAAAATTAGTATTATCTGTTTATAATACCTGTTAATAAAAGAATTACAGTTGTGTAAAATTGCTGCTAAACAATCATTGGATCACAATCCTCAAATGTGTCTGATTAAAAAAGATAAGTGAGACTAAGGTTTCACACAAGCCATTTTCTAATGAAATAGCAATGTTAGCCTTAGTTCTGAGTTTAATACGTACCTTAAATTTAGAATCCTGCAGGAAGGTCCTTGTAATGTAGCTTATTCCTAATTTTAGCTCTTACTTTTTTTAAAAGAACTCATTTATTTCTAAGTTTTACTTCTGCTTTTGGGCGTGCGTATATAGTATTAACTATTCTTGTATGTGTATATCCAAATATTAAACACAACTACAGTATTAGTAATACCAAAAGGATAACTTTACTGTGCTACTAAAAGTATATTTTTGATCTATATGAGAGATAGTTGTGTACTTTCTGGACTTGCCTTTCTGTAACAGTGGAGGCCTGTATACATCATGGAAGTGATGTGTTGAGTCTTAAGGCAAGGAAAGATTATTTTTTCTTATGAAAATCCTCCACTTTCGTTCCTCCCACGACTTCTCAAAAGAATAGCAGTGGCTGAAAATAACTTTTCCTCTTGGCTATAGTAAGATACTTAGTGGTTTTATACCTGTGCATATCTATAGTAACTGCTTACAGATTATACCTCACAGTGTTCATATTACACTACAGAACAATGTACTAGTATAGTCTTGTTTATAGTCTTAGCAAAAAAATTGAATTCTAGCCTTGCAATACTTTGATTCATGTTGAGAGTATGATTAACAATGTGCTTTCATCCATTCACCTGGATTGTATCCACTCTGAGGTGACATACATCCATAGTTGGAGTTGTTTGCAGATTTGCAATAACTCACAAGTTCCATGAGTGCTGCTTAATGGTGTTGAACTGTCCAGAATTTGATTAGAATTAAATATTTTAAAGACTATTCTAGCAGACTTATTATTAATGGTGTACATAAATGAAGAGAGTCTAAAAGCACTAGCAGTGTTCTTATATTAAATGGTTCTTGCCTAGATAAAGTAAGTTTTGTGGCTTCTTCACATAGTAGAGACTTATGTTGTCATGGGCCTGTTTATATATTGAAACAGGTTAAAGTGTTGGCCTTAGTGGGCCAAGCCATTTATCTAAATGATACTTCCTCTTGAAGGAATGCTTACCTGGGAATGAGAGCTAATTTATTTTTAAATAGTAATTTCTTCAAAATATACTGAAAATGCCTTAAGTAGTTAAATACAAAATATTACAAGTCAAGTATACCCTAAGCATTTAAACAATGAGAACCTGGAGAGATAAAGGTCTTAAATTGCTTATACAGTGCTGCCTTCTTGGGCAGAGATTTTTGTGTGTTTTCATTTTTAAAATTGTATTTAATGGTCAGCAGGGTCACTGCATCAGATGCAGTCTTAGTGACTAGCTTTAGCTATTGTGTTTGCACACTTGAGATTTATTTTCTACAGGTCAGATGACTTGATTTGATATCTTTAAATTTGTCCTGAGGGTAGAGGATTACACTTTGGAGGTAATAAGATGTATTTAGCTTTGTAGTAATCTACTGTTGCAAGATAGACCCAAGTACATTTCTGTTGTACAGCCACTTTGACAAACTTATATTGGCCTGGGACAGGCAAAAAGCTGGTGCTCTTCACTACTAAACATTTTTGGTAAAACTGAAGATAGTGGAGCAGTGCTCAGAACTTCATTAAAATCTTAAACTTCTCTCTTCCCCTTCTCTCATGCTTTGAGTTCTAGTAAAAGCCTCCAGAACTGTTAATCTTGTTTGTTCTCATTCACGTAATTAATATTATGTCATACTGTAAAGCTGCCTCAGTGAAACACTGCTTATATTTTCCTTGCTACTGTTTCTGCCAGTGTACATACACGAGCCTGAGTGGTACCATAAAACTTCAGTTAGCCTAAGCAAACCATTGATTTGTTTAGTAAATATTTTAATGGTTTCACTTACGAATTTACATTCTACATAATAGGGAAATTGAGCTACATTTGTCTTTTGAAATAAGTTTTAAAACCAGGAGGCTAAAATTAAAAAGTCTTTTTACATACCAATATATTTTGCTAATTGGTTCTCATTTTTTTTCTCTTCCAAGAATGCAGATAACTAGACACTTCATGCTGTCTAGACTAAGTTCTGTGCTGTCTCATCTCTGGATACAAAATATGTTTTGAGGTCAAATAATATTTCTTGTTTAAGAATGTAGAAATGTTGTGATTTATTCACAAATCTGTTACTGTTCTCCGAGACTGGAGCTAGAATTTGCATTTATGCCCTGTCTTGCTTCAGTAAAGAGCTAAATGATTTTAGAATACAAAGAAGGTTAAGGAAATTCCTTTCGTAAACCTTCTCCCTAGGCATCATTAATACAAACACCTAAATAAGTGGCCTAATTATGAGCAAAGGACTGTTTTCAGTGTTTTTCCCTGAATGATCTGTGTCTCTTCTGATTCATGGTTTGATTTGTATTACTTAGCCACAGTAATTCTGCTAGTCAACATTAAACAGATACTAAGAGATTTTAATTCAAAATGTCATGCCAATTGTTTGGACAAAGCAAATCAGTATTGAAAATCAAAATTCCAACTACCCCTTCCATTCTGTGGACTAAGCAGCTGGGAATTATTAAAACAGCAACCTGACTCCTCTTTGCTCAGAAGAGCAAATGTATTAAATAGAAATAAAATGTAACTAGTGTTTGGTTAGATTTCTAAACTCTCTCTCAAACTCCTGCTTTGTTTTATGCATCATAAATTGTTAAAGGGAAAAATATAAGAGATTTAATCTCCTCCTGAGTGGTATAAACTACTGTGGTCTAAGTAAGCCAAAACTTTGTCAGTTTTAGCCAAACATAATTAAGAAAAACTGATAGCTGAATTGGTGTAGTTGCCTCTAACACTAAGAAACTCCCAGTCAAATACAAAAAGGATCTCAACTTTACAAAGAAGCCACTAAAAATCTGGTTATGTATGTAGCACCTGAACTGCAGGAGGTGTTGGGATTTGTTTTTTACTCTTGCTGAGATATTTGTCATAAACTGTTGTAGTGAGAATGAATCAGTTATATCTATGTGATGGACACAGTAGACCAGGGGTAAGCAACCTATGGCATGGGTGCCAAAGGCGGCACGTGAGCTGATTTTCAGTGGCACTCACACTGCCTGGGTCTTGGCCACCGGTCCGGGGGGGGCTCTGCATTTTAATTTAATTTTAAATGAAGCTTCTTAAACATTTTAAAAACCTTATTTTACATACAACAATAGTTTAGTTATATATTATAGACTTCTAGAAAGAGACCTTCTAAAAATGTTAACGTATTATTGGCACACGAAACCTTAAATTAAAGTGAATAAATGAAGACTCGACACACCACTTAGAAAGGTTGCTGACCCCTGCAGTAGACTATTGTATTTAGACACACATACATTACCAGAAGCAGTGAGAAATTGTATATGTGGACAGGAAATAACTTAGGAATTGGAAAGTGTAAGGTCTTTAGAAGCTTATGAACAGTATAATTATATCCCAAAACTCCACTTTTAATAGTTTTTAGTGTATTTCTGTTATGGTGTACAGACAAGGGACCCACTTGTAGCTCACACATGTCAAGTCAAATTCCTGTTTTGATGCTGTGTAATCAAATTAGTTACTTCATTTTCGTTTGGAGAATTAATCCATGTGCCAGTAAATAATTCAAGCTTGATTCTTAATACTATTTCAGTAATTTTGTAAATACTGAACTAGTTCACATAAGAGAACATATGTTGTATATCTGGTGAAGATATAAATTGCACAAACAGGGATACTGGAGTATGAATATGAAAAATAAGTGACTTGCCGTTAGGCTTAGTTTCCCTGACTAGGTTTGTAAAGCAACAAGAACTCGGTCTCTCATATTGAGAAAGATGCTGGTTATAGTATTTATAAGGAGTGGGTATTCTCTTAATGCAATTGTCCCTTTTGAAATCTATCACTTCATCCAAAACTAAGAATTTGAAAGTATATTTTTTCACTTTAGTGCATGCATGGCTGTAAGTCTCCTTACTTATATGTGAATGAACATTAAAATGCAATAAGAAGCTATTTAAATGCGCCTAATAAGTATTCTCAAAAGGTACTGCATCTATCCTGCTCCTCAACCAATACAGCTTCAGTTTTTCAAGGAAAATCAGACTTCTAGAGACATGTGGTTACAAACCACACAGCTCTTTTTATTCAGCATGATAAAGGACACTGTAAACTTACTCAACATAGTCAATAATACTGATGATGAGCATTTTCCCCATTGTTTCTGTTTATGATGTCCAAAAGCCCTCACGCTAAATGGGGGTTAAGTTCTTGTTTTAGGTACTTTTTTAAAGTTAGAGGATAGAAGTCAGATGCCTTTTTATCCCACCACTGTACTCCTATGTGACCATGGGCAAATCGCTTATTTTCTGCGCCTGTTTTCCCATCTGTAAAATTGAGTTAATTATATTCACCTCTAAACTACTTTGAGAGCTACAGCTGAAATGCTCTATAGTAGTGCTAAGGATGATTAATATACTGAAGATTTAGCTTAAGCCAGAGATCAGGTTTGCTTGCATAGGCCCCACCTGAAAGGCAGGGTTTTGTGTTCTCAGGTGCTGGCAGCCCGAGTACCAGCCTTCTGACACATTTCCATTCTAAAGATGTGCCCATCAACCTCTGCCTCAATTTATTGGTGAAATGGAAATAAAATCTCACCCCTGCCTGAGTTTGACTTGGTTTGTATTTTAATCTTGTGTTTCAATGAAGCTTTAGTCAGAGAGAGCATTCCAACTTTAACTTAAACTTTTTTGTGGGGGAGGGAAATACATTTTTAGATAGAGATGTATTAATCCTAAGTATAGTTCAATTCCCATAAAAGCAAAAAAAAAAAAAAATGCAATGTTCATTGGTTACTGGGAGATGAGGAAAAATGAAGAAATCAAACAGAAAATATTTAAAAAAACAGTG